TCTGTAATTAATGGTAACCAAACCAATATAACCAGATGATAACAACATTTGAAACTCATATATACCTAACAGTATAATATTCTTAAAAATAAAATATAATATTATTTTGTTAGCCATTATATTTAGGAATACAACGTTTTAATTTTAACATCGAGGTCCAAAATATTTCAATATTTGATAGAGTGTTGTATGTGCGAAATTTCAATATTGCAAAATAGCGCGGTTCTGTTTTAGGAGGTCAACACAAGAATCAGTGAAAAGCCGCAAAACGTCGCGCGTCGTGATAAAGCACGAACGTTTTGAAAGTTTTTATCCATTGTTCAAACTATGTGTAAAGAATTTTAGATAGAATTTTTGTTTATCTTTTACTAATTTGGAGTTTTTTGTTAACTCTTGGTACGTCAAGCATATTGTCTGTTTCTATGAGTATATCCTACTTAGCGATGGTTTATTTGTAACCAGCGACATGTCCTGTTTTCTAACGAGTGCAATTATTATATTATGGTGTTATATATTAAAAATAAAAATTATACCTTGTCTTTATATTTATGCTCATTTCTTTACTGATAAAGTAGCTTTTTGTATATGGAAGAATTTTTAAAATCGATTATGTATTTTTATCGTTTATCCATAGCAAACAAATAAAATCTATTCTAGAAAAGATTTGATTTTTCTTTACAAAAACTATGTATTTCATTATAAATTATTTTATTCAAAATTTGATTGGTGAACACAAAATCAATTAACCCATAAATATTTTCCCATGGAATTCCTTAGCGCGTCATAATTGTATTCAATGGTATGTCTATGTTCATGTTATGGTGTGTTCTGGTGTTTTTATATATAGATGAAAAACAACATTTATGTTCATGATTTATGTGATAACCTTGGTGGTACAATGGATTAATATACAACATAACGTTCTAATAACAACATTGGATCTTCACAGAAATGTTTAAAAATAAAGAAAACAAACATTTGTATTTATATTTCACAGCAGCAGTAGTCTGTATAAAAGTATGTATTTTAGTATGTCTATCAGTTGTCTAGTACACACAAGACAAGTTATATTTAGATTGGTACTAAACACCTCTGTGTGTATAATAAATAACTCTACATTAATAGAGCTGTTTATTGTTACTACTAGTCGTTCAATGGTCGAAATTGACCATTAAATCATTTCAAATTTAAGTTTGAACATTATTAAACTTCTATTGCCAAAGACTGTACACTTGTAAACATAAGTATGTATGTATGTAATATACGTATTATAACAAGTCTAATTAATTTATGAAATTTAGTAATTTTAAATAATAAAAAAATACTCCTTTTCTAATACAATGATACATATGATCATATGATCTTAAGTCCGATTGCACTACAATACAATTATGATATTTGCACGTCACTGAAGACAGTTTTGGATGAAACCAAACTACTTTTTTGGCCATTCGCATTTGAAATCAATTAATTAGTCGGTCAGATTATATCCTTTTGTTCTTGATAGCATGTTACCTCTTTTGTTTGTTAATTTAAAGTTTTAAATCAAACCAAATCACGACGTCGAGTCACTCCGTGTGTTGATAGCCATAACAACGCATAATGTATTCCATTATGAATGTTGTAATTGGAATTTAAAGTTAATTTAAAATTTTATTGACGGGTAATGTAACCACCTATAATCATACATAATATTACGGATATCATAATATGCAACTTTGGTCGTAATAGTTCGTATGTGTTGTCGTCTGTGAGGAGTAGGCAAGCGTCCTTGTAACCTGTAATTACACTGCCATAATTTACCCTTTAAACCATAAATAGGCAAGATATTTCTGCAACCAAACATACGTTTTTCGCAAAGTTTTCTTCAGGTATAATAAAATAATGTATTTATTACCTACTACCATCATACTTTTAAACATTACTTTAGGTATCATATTTAAATACCTACATCAGTATTTTAACCCACGTCATTTGAATTCATTTTATGAGAAAACCGACTTGCCGCATGTAATTTATGATACCGAATATTATTCTGTCATTCCCAAGTCCAGTATATCATTTCCAAAGTAGATAAAGAACAGGTCTCATCGGATTTTGGGTGGAAATAGTCTAGAATATTTCTGTATTATATTTCAGAGATCTCTGTAACGTAGTGGTTGTTGGTTGGTGAAAATATAATCTTGCTCGCGCCGATTTTTCCAAATTAAACAAAAGTATGGTAGCTCTTCTCATGTATCAATATATTGAAAGATTAATAGTAATATACGTTTTGTTAAACAAGTTGAGAGAAAACAATTTTCTAAAATATTTAATAACATTTGAATCATTCGTAGCAGGTTTTTTTTCATATATTTCATAATGACTTCTGAAAGACTTGAATTTTTTTCATTATTCAACAATTGTATAGTAGACTGACTTGAGGAGCAGGTAATTGGTATGTATGTGTGGATTATTTTTAGCAATAAATTATTAAATTAAACGAAAATGTAAATATTAGTAGGCACACAGAATAATTAGGTCTTTTATATTGGTATTAATAAAGCGGCATCATTATTTTGTAGGTTTAAATACTAGGTTATGTTATTATCACCATCAAGCATGTTGATTCAAAATCTAGCATGCAAAATAAATGCTGCTTTAAAAGGACTATATAGACAGGAATCGAAAATAATAATAATTTAGATCAACTTGAAAAGCTATAAAAATGTACAAAAGTTTTAGCCATATCTGTGGCCCGGATTACAACATGTGAGCTCTCGCAGTACAATCCTAAATAAATAATTAACTTTTATTTTTACAAAAACTCTGACTGACGGTGGTAATAATCATTTAAAAACCCGGAAAACGTTTTATAATTTAATGTTTATGCGAACAAAGTTACAGCGCATATACCTCAACTGTGGTGGGATGATTTAGCACACACATTTATTTGGTTGCATATCTATGAATTGAAATAAAATTTATTTGACCGGACTTTTTTTCGCAGGTACCTGATGTAATAGAGAGTAACTGAGGTTACTTTTATTTTAGACAAATAAAAAGTTAAATTCCATGAGGACGAAGTCGCGTGTACAAGGAAGTTAGATTCTCTTATTTATTATTATGATTGGCTGTATTGTATAAAAATATACCTGATATCTTTTAATTCTATCTGTACATGGAAGATATATGAGAAAACTATTATTGAGTGACTTTATCTATGTTACAGTACCTAAAACAATTATAGTTAGATTTTTTGTCTGTTAGTCTATGAGATTGTACGTCTTTAAATCTGAACCGCTTAATAGAATTGGGTGAATCCTTATCTATTTTATGGATGCAACATTTAAAATTTTGGTGATATTTTTTCATAAAATCATTTAAAAATAAATTAAATTAATATTATTCCACGGCGTACGCTATTTTTATCTGTCTGTATATCTAATTATTACTAAACAACCGATAACCACAGTTTGTGTTAATAACAATAGTAACTTAAAGATCTCGCCTATTTCAGCTGCCAAGCTTGCTTTGTAAGTTGTTTCGGTTATACGATGAGATTAGGCCGTGAAATTACAGGATAAGATGTATGATTGTCATTATAATTATATGAAAAGAAGCAATGTTAGTGATCTCGATCTCGATCTACTAATAATTAAATATGGTCGGCAAAATTGTATAACTCAATACACTAGACGCCGTTCCTAAAAATACACTGCGTGTAGTAACTCTGTTATGCGTTGAACAAACAAACGGTTTCCGTCGACTTAAATGTTCTGTTTGTAAACATATAAATTATAACTGGCTAGTTTATGCGTACGGGTGTGCGTGACAAAAGCGTTTAAGTACCCGTCATGTTTGTGTTATTGTTATATTTTTATGCATGGATGATAATAGAATCGTGCACAATAGGTGCTATAGGATGTATAAAACAATCTAGATATATATATACACATATATACATTTCTGGTGTTACACTTGATTTGTAACAAACCTCTTTAGTAACGGCTTGATAGATTGTTTTTTTAAATGTTTCGACATTAAAAATACATACAACCCTCCAATTTGTCCCTTCTAATATGAACATCTATTTTTTCATAGGCATACTAATTTACATGACCCTGGCAATTTTGTTAATAAAGTAATTGAACAATAAAAAATAAACCCGGGATTAGTTTTATATGAATAACAATAGTATTCGAATTTCTGACTAATGGTCTGTTGACGGAAACACTAATACAAGAATGACAAGATACGATAGGAGGGTCGCTGCTTAATACGTACTTCGAGTAACTGTCTGCGAAACGTGGTCATAAGTCAAGTGTTGTGTTTGCCACAATCTAGACAGTTCTTAGTTCCCATTTGGGATAAATCGTGAAGCTATATTTAATAAGAGTATGGTAATAGCACATAATCACCTTAATAAACCTGCTCCTCTTAGGTGGGTACCTAGTGTAGTGTATGAAACTTAACAAAGAACTCCTAAAGGGCGAGTAGATCGTCTACTGAAAATCTCATTCCAGATCTAGAAATCGAATATGCAAATGATTCGGGATTGTCTTCTAAAATTACACGAGATCTCGCAAGATTAGGTTTGCATCCGCTACATGTACATTTTACAAACCTGCAGCATTCAAAGAAGAAATATTTAGATCTAAATTGTTCACGTCTTAACACTAATCTATCTAATACATCGTGTTAATCTTCCTCTTATTCTTAATCTGGCAACTATTTAAACTACGATTGAACTTAAATTTAAACCCGTTTTTGCATTCATCCTGTACCGTAAACAATTCTTTAGAGTCATCAGCCCGATAATCCGCATAAGTGTCGCTATGACGTTCCTCAATGAAATCACATTTCTTCCTTCCAAACTCACAAACTCCACTTCTATCGGCGCCTTTGAAACAATCATAGTGAGGCTTACAATCAATACTATTTGTACTTCTAGCGATATAACTTTCAACACCATCTTTCCTGATGTCATTGTAGCAGACAAGAAAATTCTTGCCTAACTGTCAATCTCTACCATCCGTGGTTAGAGTGAATCTCGTAGCAGATTCGCTTAGTGAATCGTCCCTAATTTTTGGTCTGCGGTTCCCATTTATTTGTTCAATAAAAGAAGTATTGGTGTTTCTCACACAATCTCGATGCATATTGTGATTTGATGGGGAGAGATGAGTCAATCTGTAGCTCACGCAAGAGTCATTTCGTCGTACAATAGTTCTGGTGGTACCAGCTCGGGAACTGCCGATTGGGGCGAAGGATGTACCGTTCTGCTCCGCTGGTGGTTGTGAAAAACAGCAGCAGAAGCATTTGAAGTAGGATCTGTGGAATTCTCTTCGGAATTTGCCTGCAACAAGAGAGAAGTTATTAAGAGAAGTGCCGTGGGGCTCTGATGGTTTTTTAGCTTTTTGAGGCTAATTTACAGCAGTCTAGTGATTTTTGGTTGCTCTTTTACATTAACATCAAAATAGACTTTTTACAAATTTTTCGTTCTACCGCTAAACAGATTCAATTGTAAGTTGTATTCTGGTATGAAGAATGAGTTATGGCATTGAAATTAAACATACTGAGGCATGACACCTTAATAAAAGTTACCTAGAGGAATGGTAAGAATGAGGGTTTAATACTTTCTATACTATTTTCCATCAGGTGGGCAGTTGATTGTTTGCTAAAAAATATTTTAGTGCTTTATTATTATAGTTAATATTATTCTAAATATACATACAGTGATATTATATTTCTTTGCATTATATTAGAAAGTGCTCTGTGATATATCTATAGGGTCTAAGAATGCCGTTGAATATAGAATTGCTAGAATTTTCTTTGTATAAGTCTCCAATATAAATAAACTGCGCTATTAATATTACTCCATTAACGCAAGAGATCTATTAAACTTGGTGGACTATACAAAGCAAATCCTATTATGATTGTTAAGAGGCGTTTTTAAAGCTTCAGATCGTATTTTTTTTTATTTGATATCCTAATTGGATTTTGTTAAATCAAAGAATGCTATAAGATTAATAAATATAGAATAAGAATTTTATTTAAATATAGATTATTCTAAAGAATTTATCTAGTTAATAGCCTAAAAAAATCTACAAATAGTAAGATTACAGAAAAGACGGAACGCTTACGTATAATAAGTAAGAAAATGATTTTCAAATGCTTGAATTATTATGTGCAAATAAGAAAGTGTATAATTATGTTTAAAATTAAAAAATATGGAAGTACAATTACAGACTCTAATGGTGAAAATATTAAATCTCAAATCTTTAAATAGACATGGAAGACAGCGATAGTGCTGTCTTCTTCTAAACCACACATTGTCAATTAGAATTAGAGATTTTTTTTTAAGAAGATCTAATATGTATGATAGCGCAAACTCAATACAATGACTATTTTCATTGTTAATTGATTAATTTAATTATATTCGGCCTATATTGATTAAATCACTGTTATTTAATATTTAACACAATGAAGTATTAAAGTTAAGGATTATTATAAATATTGTAAATAGCGCCATCTAGTACTTATAGACCGAACTAAGTTGTTTGTCATAAGATAATCGTTACGCCTGCTTCTCTCCCTACTACACTGACTTCGGTCTATAAATACGGAGGTCGGTAATTGAATAACTCTCTTTCTGTGTGTAACCGTTGCACCGAATACATCTCTGGAATTTGATAAAAGTGTTTATTATTTAATTATCGTCACGGTGAGTTGTCTGGTATCAATCCCCGCTCTTACATGTATATGTATGTTTTATTTATATCCTTCATTAAGCCCACAGAGTATCAATGGGCTAAATGGAGCAAATATTGAGTGTTGCGTTGGCATGACAATTAACTATATCTCTGAATACAGCATACGGGATGACCGTCATGACGGTATGTTTTTATGTTATGTTTTGTATAATATACAACCCTTTACCTTTACGTAGTATAAAATGAAGTTGTCTGTTCGCCTAGATCTTTTAAGCCACTGGTATAGTATAAAATAAGTAATAGCTGTCAATAGTACATACAGTATGTATGCTTAAATCTTTTGAATTACCTAACCGATTTTAATACAGCTCTCAGCATACATAGAGTAATGCAAGAGGAAGGTTTATTTAGAACAGAATTAGAACAGAAAAGTTGCGAAGTACTATGATTTACCATTTGATGTATAATAAACATATTTTTATGTAATAAACACATTCCGATTGGATAACGCCGCTGGGGGAGGGGTCGTTATTAATATAAAATTGTTATACCTGAATCAAAAAAGAAGAGTATAAGAAAATTGAAAATATATAAGTATATTCAATGTTCATAACTATGTCCTCTAGGATTGTTGTCGTAAGTATACGAGTATTACAGGTTAGTCACCTGGTATTTTGACACGTAATATAAACTTTTATGTGTGCAAAGATATACGGTACTAGAGTAATATAAAAAGGTCGTTAGTTCAGCAAATGGGCAGTAACTGTACTGAGAACAAAACACTGATATTAATAGCTTTACCATTTGGTGGTCTTGAATGATCACTAGTTTTTACGCGTGATTATTTCCTCTTATTTATGATAACTGACGTTGTAGTTAGATTCTTTTTGTTTGAGAGTTTAATATTGCTAAATAATAAGTATCAAATATATTGGAAATTAATTAATCTGAACTACTCATTCATAATAAGAAGCATCTAATATAATTAGTCGTCAGTTCGTGTCACCGTCTTTGTTTTTAAAATTCTAAAATCATTTATGCACCGCATCCAGTACTGTTTAGTATCTTTATATTTCTGTCCCTACCGTTTGATTACATCGCTTGATAATAATAGTATACCGTCATGATCGTTTTCCCAATGGGGTAATTACGGGGCATCGTTAATTGTCAACGTAATAGTGAACGCTTGAATAAAATAGAATAGAATTAAATAGTAATAGATTAGAAAATGATTTATTCAAATAAACTTCATAGAAGTTATGAATAGTCATCACTTTTTTAATCTACCGCTAATAATTATAATAGTTCCAACTTTACACTTTTATGTAGAATCGGAATTTGATCACTGATATTGATTAATTCAGTTGATTGATTATGACGCTTCTAGTAGTGGTGGTCAGATTTCCTTTCCAGAATGTTTATGATCTCATATATGCTAATATATGCTTATTCTATACAATATATACTTTAAATGTAAGGCGGGGTGGTAAACTTGATGATGATATTCAAACAGTAAATATAAACTTCAATAGTTCAATCATATCATAATTATAACCTTCAATAAATAATAATATGGAACAGTCCTAATAATATTCTAGTCATTTTCCTACACAAGTACATAATATAGGTAATCAGTATACAATATAGGTGTCCTAATGATAGGTCGAGTTACTGATTACTTAAAAAAATGCTTTAGTTTTCGTACAGTAATCTTTCCGGTTCTAGTTTAAAAAAGAGTCAATACTAGTATAAACACACAAAGGATGACACTATTTTGCAAAAAAAAAAAATAAAAGAATTATCTCTACATTTAAATATATTTCTTTCTTTCTTTCTTTCTTTCTATTTAACATTAGTGAAAAAAGTTTTTGCGTGAAATAGTATCTAACAAATATCCATCCATCCATACTCACAAACACCGCATTTATAATATTAGTAAGATGTATTCATTTATTCAGTATGACATTATATTATTCTTATATAAATTGTCTCTCTTTGACATAAATATAATATATTATCTATGTATTTATATAATAATTCATGTAAAACTCTGATTGTTATCGCTATAACTGCCCCACGAAGCTTTCTCTTCATACCTATAGATAGTTGCATTATGCTCGCCTTTTGTACAAGTTTTAATGAGCAATAAAGAATTAGTAATAGAAATACTTTTTTACTTTTTACTAATTTAGTACTTTCTCATAAACTGTTGTAGATCCATTTAGAGAACATTCGAATTTTCTGACCTCGAAAATCTAACATTCTCAACTGAAATCCACATACATTTCAAATGAATGAAAGTGTACCTATATCTGTTTAATTTACTTAAAAAATTAATTTTACAGTATAATGAAAAACATTTAACAAAGTGTCAATCCCAATAGATTTGTGCAAATTGGAATCCTTTCAAAGTTTCACTTCCAAATGGGACGTGTAACTAAAGTGATTGAGGTACTGTGAAGGGTACACAACTGGCTAATAATATCCTGAGGGATGTACAAATATCGACGTTATGTTATCGATAAATGTAATTTAAAGTGTAGTGTAGTTGTAAAACATAAAGCCCTTTCGGCTTCAAGTAGATTATTTACGAAGATAAAGTATTGTTACAGAGAAACAACGTCGAAATTTGTTAATCCATACAATTAACAATTTTCGACGTTGTCAGTTAATATATTATATATAGTGACAGTCGTATGATCGCGTAGTTTGTATGAAAGTTTTATTTTCAATCGTTGTAAATCATCAAAAGAATCGGTATTAATTTATAAATTTGTAGATAAAAGTAGGTAAGATTTGTTTTTATAGTAATTTAAAGTTTAGATGTTATGTAATTGATTAAGAAGACAACACGGAGCTAACATGCTCACTATTGTGCTAAGCTCCTAAATAAATAAAGAGAAAAAAAAATTGTAGTAAATAATTTTAAACATTCATTCAGTTTTCTTTCTTGGGGGAAATTGCTCAGCTTCATGATCACTATCATTTAGTTTAAATTTATACGATTAAACTTGTTTACTGTTTGTTTATTAGTGACCCGCAAATTAATCCTTCCGCACACATAACTAAAATCTACAACAAAACGCCAACGAGTTATACCTACACCTAAACCTTCCTCACTCTGGTGATTAATGAATTCCGCATGAAATCAATACAATAATTTTTATTATTTATATTTGTTATATTATTTTTAATTACAAAAAGACATATTTTATGTAATTATAATCTATCGTGTGGGTGCGACGAGAATGTCCGTATATTCTCGTCTTAACTTTATGATAGAAATAACAATTAAGTGAAATAAAGTTTTGATTATCATCTTTTCGGGCTTAATTTAATAAAATTAACTTTATAACCCAAATGTTAATGACGTCACATACAGTTAACAGCTCACACAGCGCCTTCCAGTCTGGTCGACAAGATTAGATTGTTAGAATTATATTCAAGTTTCAACCTAGTTACAAAGTTATGTATGGTTCATTGTTGGTTTGTTTATGGATCATATGATATAATAGGGGAAACTAGTTAAATAATATACCTTTACAAATAGTCCTAGAAGGGGTAATCACGAGCATTGTGAACTGTCAACGTGGTGGCTAACGAATTACTTGTCATACCTACTTTTGCTATATATATTTGAATC